ATACTTGAATTATATAATAAACACAGTCAAAACTAGTGTTTTCACTTTTTTACCAAATTAACAATAATTTCTAATTTGTTAGATTATTTGGGTGCTAGAATTTTTTTTTTGATACTTTATTAAATCACCGTAACAGAGTGCCCCACAATTTGATATATCCAATTAAAGATACTTACACTAGATAAAAATTAATTTATACCTACATTTTAATAAAAGCATACAGATGTACAATACTTATGTACTTAAAGGGAATTATAAAATGATAGATCTTATAATTAATGAAAAATTCTTTGATGAAATACATCTGTGTTCCGGCTTACTAATTTTTGTAAGAAAAATTAAACAAGTTTAATATGAAATATTATTCTGAAAATTCATTTTTGAACAATTTTTCCTTATTAATTTGAGGTAGTGTGTAGTGGGTTGAAAATTCAAAAATGAATTTTCAGAATAATATTTCAAATTAAACTAACTCACTTCTAAAAGATGTCCAAATTGTATGTATGTTTAAACAAGTTTAAATTTTAATTCGAAAAACAAGAAATAAAATTTCTTCATATTAGCTAAGTACTTATAACAAAAGAAACTTTAATGACTTACGAATAAATTTAAAATTCGTATTATGTAAATAAATATATATGCCTTTTTCCTTTCTTCAATTTTGACAATGGAAACTGTTTGTAATAGTAGGTATTTTATTCTCCAATCAGTATGCGTTACGTTTGAAAGCAAATTATTATGTAGCAGTAGTTTTACCACTTCGCAATAAATAAGCATGTACATGCAAAATTAAACAGTAATTGTACCCTTCAAAGTAAATAAAAGAAAGGCTTTCAAGTTTAGCGGCGGAAGTACAATGGATACGTGCGAGTCTAACAAAAACGATACTACAGACTACATTATAGAAGTGCGTGTAATGACGGTATGTTCGAAAATTGTGGGTTTTATAACACCCTCAGGTAAACAGTTAGAGCCTTGCCATATGCTCCATACAATAATAATTATAATACGTAAGCTTATTATAATGTTTTTTAATGAAGGGATATTTATCGTATGTTGATGGTAGGGCCTACAGGATCATATTTTTCGCCTCTAGCTTTCTTCGAACAAAAGATTGTTAAATTCAATCGTTATTTGTATATGTATTTTTGGTGAAAGCTGGAGACTGAATATATGTACCGTTACTCCGAAAACCAACCGCCCCATCTTCAAGTAATTACAACCGTTGTGTTCCATACAACAAAAGATAGCAGTAATTATTTATTGGTAGGTGGTTGGTGCCGGATTTTCCAACAAGAATATAGTAACAACAACAGGTTGAGATGTTTGGTAAATCAAATTGAATCTTTTGTTTAAGTTCTTATTACCTTTTTGAAGATAGCCTTTATGTAAATTAACCAGATACCTGTAAATAAGCATAAAGGTTTGGGTAGTACGCCTACTAACATAAGTCCGATATTTTAAATTGGAGAGCCCGGTAATTTTACCTTTATCAGAATTGCGACCTTAAATTGACATTATCCTCACTAAGTACCCAACGGAGTGTCTAATTATAGTAAATTTCTATTGTAAAGAAAAATATAATATGTGCACAAGATGAAGTACCTTTTTAAACTGCATCTTGAAAGTAAGAACTCGAATAATTTATTCTAAAAAAACAAGTACATTTGCGAAACAATGTCTTTTTACCATTATTAATTAGTATATATGTTAACGGAAATGTGTGCAATTCGTCATTGTATAAAATTCCTAAGATGTGTATATAATTCTTAAAATCGCCCGTAAATGTGTGAAATAAATTATATTAGATATGTTTCCTAGGAAATTTATGCATTTCCTAAATAGCAATCGAAAATGTATTACATTCAAAAATATTAGTTTTATACATTTCCTAGTATAATATCGTAATTTCATACAATTCCTAGGAAATGTATACATTTTCCAGGATATGTATGTATTAAAAAATTTATGAATCAATATTTTATAGATTTCCTAAATAGCTTCGGAATTCTATACATTTCCTAGGAATTGTATACAATGAGTAGATTTCATATATTTCCGGTAACATATTTAACGCATTTTTCCAAAAATTCTGCACAAATTATTAACATCTTTCTTAATTCCTCCTTTTTAAATAAACGTATTAATAATATAAATTTATTACATTTTTGATACTTATTCACTTGTTCGATTCATTATTTCCATTTTCTAATATCAATTGTAATCAATATAATGTGGAAGGCAGTATTCTTTACCAACCGATTAAAAAAATGTTTGTATTTTGGGAATTTTCGTTTTTTATTTGCCGGTTTTTACAATTCAGTTTTAATTAATTTTTATTATGTCTTTTTCTTCATTTCATGGACATTAAATTAATTATAATCTGGTCATAAAGGAAGAGAAATTCTTTTAGGTACTGAAACTGTTGCACGTTGTGATTGACTAACCTTGTTGGAATAATGATTTATTAGTCAATCGTTATAAACATAATTATCCACTTTACAAGTTTATAATTAACTAAAATTAGTCGAGTGTTGCGATTCAATTAATATTAATAAAATGTAAGTAATTACGTTATCGTTTTGTTAAGTTTTTTCTAATGCTCCGTTTAAATTGCTAATTACTTTTTTGCTTATTTTTTGTAGAAAAAAACTATAATTATTAATTAAAATACGTTACCTATGTCGGGTAGGTGCAGAACAGCGTTCATGACTAACCTGATTTTTCGATTTTCAAACATACCGAATTCGTACGTATCCTTGTATTATCTATTGTATATGTATTTGTCATAATTAGGTATCTTTTTACGAATTTTTTATCGTTTATATAAATAGAACGAAGAGATAGTACGAATTCCTCGGACTTAAAACAAGAACAATCGAACGAATCGTTAAAAACTGAGCCGCTGGAAGATGTCGAAGAATTGAACGCGAGTCAAACGACAGAATCGGACTCGCCGGTACAGATGTGTCCTTATTGCAATTACACAAGCGATTCGGAAATGCGAATACAGGCCCATATAATAGCGCAGCACAGCGAAAATAGTTCCTCATCGGAAGTGGTGGTTTACCATTGTCCACTTTGTCAAGACCAATTTAAAGATCGTCCAGTTTTAGAAAGACACGTGATGCAGATTCATTCTGTTAACAGCGAGGGTCTCCAGAGACTTTTAATGTTAGTGGACCAGAGTCATTGGCTCAATCAAGTCTCGCGGACATCCACGCCTAACCAAACCGGAAATAACCAAATACAAACTCCTCCGAACCAAATGATCTCACCGAATTCAGTCGCATCGAAAGACTCGAATAAATTGGATAAAGGCGACGTCAATATGGACGACGTACAAGAAGTATTATCGCCTAATAGTGACGAAAATACCGATCCGGAAGTCGAGAAGTGTGGAACATGTTCGAAGAATTTCAAAAACATCGACGAGCTGTGCTGCCATCAAAACGAAACGGGTCATTTAGAAATCAAACAGACCCCGAGTGGACCGGGTTACATGTGCTGGAAGAAGGGCTGCAACCAGTTTTTTCCAACCGCCCATACGTTACAAATGCACTTCAGGGAAGTTCACGCGAAAAACTCCATCACGCAAATGTCTGTCTCGGAGAAGCACGTGTACAAGTATCGATGCAATCAGTGCTCGCTCGCGTTCAAAACCTTAGAAAAATTACAGTTACACTCGCAATATCATCTTATACGGGACGCAACCAAGTGCGTATTGTGCGGGCGCAGTTTTCGTTCGGTTGTCGCGTTACATAAACATGTCGAAAGTGTCCATTCGGAATTAACGGACGAGGAATTGATCGCATACAAGCAAAGTCTGATGAATAATCCGCTTCTTTTGGCGGGTCTGCAGGGCCAGGTGCTAGACAGCTCGACCAACGACATCCTACGAAAAGAGTCGCTTCGTAACGACGAAATCGAACCTCTAGATTGCGACGATAGCAAAGAATTGAACACCAGTCAGGAAGACAATAACCAGAACGACGGCGAAAATTCGGACGACAGCATCGTGTACAAAGACCAACAATTCTTGGAAGATTACCTGAACAGTCAGGCGATGGCGGAGGACAGTTACAATGACCCTAACAGAAAGTACAAATGCCACCGATGCAAGGTGGCCTTCACCAGGCAAAATTACTTGACCGCCCATAATAAAACCCTTTTACATCGCAAAGGTGAGAAACTAAGCTACCCCATGGAGAAATACCTGGACCCCAACCGGCCGTACAAGTGCGACGTGTGTAAAGAGAGTTTCACGCAGAAAAACATACTGCTCGTGCATTACAATTCGGTAAGCCATTTGCACAAACTAAAACGAGCCATGCAGGAACAACAACAACAGAACAATAATAACAATCAACCAGTCAGTCCTATCATTAGCAGCCAAACGCAAAATTTATCGTTAACACCGAAGAGTACGTCCTCGGACGAAGACGATAAGAAAAGGTACAAATGTAACATATGCAAAGTAGCTTACACGCAGGGCAGTACTTTGGACATACACATGCGTAGCGTTTTACATCAGACCAGAGCCAGCAAATTACAAGATTTGGCATTATCGGGCCAGATTGACCTGTCTAAGCCGTTAATAGAACAACCCGAAGCCATGCAGTCTCCGCACCAGACCAGTCCCGCACCCTGTATCGGCGGCAGTGGTGGGGAAAAATTATCTCCTACCCCTCCGTCACCTGGCACAGGTAGCCAACAACAACAACAACAGGGGATGATGAGCTGTTCAAAATGCGGCGCATTATTCGCGTCGACCGACCAGTTGTGTACGCACCAACAGCAGTGCTGCACCAACACGTTCGCTGCACCCATGGCCATCTTTCAAGCGTCACAAGAGCCCGGCCAGGCCAAAAGTCCTCCGCCGCCGTCGATGTCTAGCGAAGGGCAGCATCAACAAGAATTACTGAACAGACTGAATTTGCCGAAAAAGTCGGGCTCGTACATGTACAAGCAGCTGCTGGAAAGTTTCGGTTTCGACTTGGTCATGCAATACAATGAGAGCCATCAGCGTCGTCAGCGTCAGTTAAACGAAGAGAAACAGTTGTCGTCCAGCGGCAGTTGCATTAGTCCGCCGTCGTCTTCGTCGATCCACGGTGACGTTGTAGCGATCGAGCCGACAGCGGCAGCAGGAGCGAAGTCCGAGGAGGAACCCTCAACCGATAACAACGCCAGCGGCCTGCCAGAAGTAAGTAGATCTACGTGCCAACATTGCAATAAAGAATTCTCTAGTGTTTGGGTGTTAAAGTCTCACTGTGAAGAAGTACATAAAGATTTAGTGCCGCTAGAATTCTTAGAAAAGTATGCTCAACAGTTCAAAACCGAATACGAAAAGAAATCCGTGGTCGTGACCGCTGCAACCTCGTCTACTACCCATGTGCCTACCACCACGTCCGTCGGCGGCGAAGATCCCGACCCCGAAAAAGATGGGGACGACAACATCAAAGAATCCACGACCACGACGTCCACGATACCGTCGGCCGAAGCGGGCGCCGTTACCACGACAGCACCGTCGACGCCCACGTCTTCGACGACGCCGTCGGCCAGTAGCACCGATTCGGCGTCGGTCCCGTCCAACATACAGGCGATCATAGCTCAAAGCATGGCCCAAAATCCTATGGCACTCGCACAGCAAATGTCCGAGATGCAGGCCGCTTTGAACGTGATGCAATTGCAACAACAGTTGAACTTTAACCCGATGATGCAGATGATGGGAATGGGACTGCCGTTAGGACTCAACGCCCTGGCCGCGATGAATTTGCAGCCGCCGCTAGTGCCGCTCATGATGCCGCCGCCCCCCTACGATCCCATATCGCAGTTCGCGCCTCAAGATCAACAGGCCATGCTTGCCAAGCAACAAGTCATGATGCAACAGCAAGTGGTAAGTGTTTTTTTTTTTTAATTATTACTTTTCCTTTTCGTAGGGATAACTATTAGATATGTATTAGTCTTCTTTTACGTTAACTTGCCTCGGATTACTCCATTTGGCGCATAAAAAAAGCTGCATACTACGTACGCCATTCTGTTCCTGTAGAATTGGTTTTTATTTAAATATAAATATGGTGAATTTATCACATATTGACAGTTGCAATAAAAATTATTGCTTATTGTATGGCGGATCTTATTTTTTCAGATTTGTTTGCCTACTGTAAACGTGTAACCCATTTAGATAATTACATTCATAACTAATAATTATTTTTAAAATAATTGGTGACGTTTTTTGAAATATTGGCAACTGTTTTGTGTGTATATCTTTTCACAGAAAAGTTTTTGCATTTTAATTGATATATTACCTAGTACTTAAATAGATAGCTTCATTTTGAATTAATATAGCTATTTACTATATAAAAAATAAGTAGCATTTTTTTGACATTTAATTACCCACGTACTTATATAATGCCACGTGGATTAATTAAGTTTCTTCCTAATTTCCATACCAGCGTGTGCGCTATTACAGTTGAATATTAATTAATGTTTTTAATTAAAATGCTAATAACATTATTTCTTTTTGTTTTGAATCCACGCTTTTTTTATGTTATATACGTATTATAACTATCGTCATCCGATGATTGTGCATAGGTATCAGTTGCAGTGTGACTAACACATTAATAGGAAGCAAGTTTGTGATTTGCCTTAGAAACAAAACATTTGCTTTGTAAAATCTCATAAATATTTCGACAATTAATAACACTTTGTTTTAAAATTAACATCAAATCGTAAATTTTTCATTTAATTGACAGCGACAATTTCACCTTCACATTTTCGAGTTGAAAGTGATATTTGATTAATTTATATTGTTATATAATGGTAATATTAATTTCACTATTTATGTATTACGCATGATCATCGAAACATCTGGTACATTTTTTTGAAAGGTAATGAAATGGGGCAGATAAAAAGAGAAAAAAAAAGGTATTGCCACTGGCGAGATTGGAACCTGGGTCGTTCGATTGTTTTATTTTGTTGAAATGTTAAAAGTTTGGGTTAATACATTTGATTTGAAAGCAAATCGATCGACTTTCGATTATAAATACTGTAACCTTTGATAATAGTCGTGATTTTATTAAACTGGTGAAACTTTCTACATTTAAATAACTATTCATCATTGAAAACTAAACAGCATTTTCTACCATATTCAAAAAGATATTTAATCATAATTTTTTTATGGCAGTGTTATTAATAATGTCAAAAATATGATGAAATACTGTGTAAACAAGTTTAGGATACGCTAGATGTTAGGGCAACACAATTTTTGTGTAGGGACAGACCGCCATGCGTGGACAAAAGTGTAAAAAAGTAAAGTGCAAAAAATATAAATGAAGAAGACGGAACTTGAAATTTTGATTTTTTAAACTGAATTAATAGAATATTCATTAGTAACTGTATTTTATAGGCGATAAAATAGAAAAAATAATTAACAACTTACGCAGAAAATTTTTCCGTGGAAGAAAGCAGTCTCAGTATCTATACTTAGGGAAGTCGAGAA